GCCTGCCCGGCCGCTCCGCTCCAGCAGGGTTCTGAGAAAGGAGACAAGAGGGAGGAGGCACGTCCCCCTCTCATTTCAATCGTAATCCCCTTAACTTTTCAAAGCAATTTTGATGCCCAGAGAACCTCCTGGGAGAAGGCACACATGAGGAAACCGAGGCCAAAGAGAAGGGACACACATTACCAAGGGGTAGCAGGTCCAGCTGGAGCTAGAACCTGCTTCTCCTGACCCCAGGGACTCCATTCTGTCTCCTAGATCCCCCCAGGTGTCAACCCCAAAGCACCCAACAGACAAGCCATCCTCACCCCAGGGGCTACTACCCAGCACTTTTGCCTTAAAGGCTCCCAGCTGAGCCCTTGGCAGACATCACTAATCAATTGGAGCAAACATCAAATCCCTTGCAGCCCAGGGCTCCAGGCAGACACTATCAATCAATCAGAATTGGCCTGGGAGATCAGAAGCCTCCTCAGTCCTGCTCCAGGCAGTGCCAGCTGCCTGGTGTCATCCCCAGGACTCATCACAGTGCCTGCCCAGTGGCCAGCATCCAGTCCACAGCTATTGAGTGAGTGAATGGACAAGCGGGCACGCAGGCCATGCCTGGTGATTGGGCAGAGACCCAAGCAAGAGGGCACATCTGTCCTCTGCACATTTCATCGATAAGCACAGAATCCATTTAAAAGCCCAGTGAATCCAAAAGAAGCAACAGGGGCTCCAGGGGGGTCTCCATCCCTGTCCTGCTGCTCACAGTGCTCCCACTTCCCCAGAGCCCTGGAATTGGAGTTGTGTCTCCTGCCTTGCTGTGTGACCCCAGGCAAGTCACCCAAGCTCTCTGTGCCTCAGCTGCTTCAACCAACCATAAGATAAATGGAATAAGCAAACCTGCCTCAAAGGTTGCCGCAGGGATTCCAGCAGCCCTCCAAGGGACAGAACACCTGGCACAGAGCAAGAGCCCGAGAAAGCCAGGCTGCTGTGACCTTTCCGATTACACCGAAGGGCCTTGAGGCCAGGGACCACGAGGTCTTTCTGGGTACCAAGTCTGTTGCCCAGACCACAGGGCAAACACAGACATGGGGCAGGGGAGGCAACTTCCACCTGGGATGGTGACAGGGGGCTGATTCTAGGGGCAGGAGATAGGATCTACCCAGCTTTCAGGACCTCAGCCACAGAACAGCCTTTTGGGGGTGCAGCACAGGGTGCTACATCCAAGCACAGCCTCAGACCCCTCTACAGTGACCCTTGCAGCCGGCTGCCTTCTCTGCCACTGCCCAGCGCCCTGGGTGTCCATCCCTGCAGAGCGAGCCCACAGAGACAGGGAGCTGGGCCGTAAGAGGATGTGAGGTGGCCAAGGGCCTCGGCATATCCCTCCTCTCTGGGCCTCAGTTTACCCACCCAGAAATTAGGGCAGGGGACGGCCTGGCCCTTCCAACTTCAGCATGTCTCTGGCATACATGTATCCCCTGATTTGCTCCACAAGTACTTACTGAGTGCCTACTGTGTACCAGACCCGCCCATGCTCTTCTCCTGCTGGAAGCCACTCCCGGCCTCAGTCTCCAAGTTCAAGCTTCCTGCTGGAAGCCTCAGTCCCTCCCCTCTGTCCTTCTTATCACAGATTTATCACACTATCCTCTCTATCCTCCGGTCTGTTTATCCTGTCTGCTTCCTTCAGACTTGTGGCCTCCTGAGGGCACCATCTCTGCTTGTTCCCTGACTCATTTGCAAGGGCTCCAGAGGAAGGTTCTGGAAATATCTCTTGGGTCAATGAAAAAATAAACGAAGGTGTGAATTCCAAATTTCTCACCCCTCACCCCCACACAACATGCACCCTCTATCCCACACCCATCCCTGGGAGCCCCCCAGGCAAACCTCACCACCTACCAGGAGGCTTCCAAGCCAGGTCGCCCACCTCTAAGCTGGGTGACCACTAGGTGCCCACGAGGCCTACGTGGCATTTGGAGGGTGTGAACTGCTCCAGCGTGGGGCTGACATCACCTGAGGTTTGACAGGAACCCAGGTCCCCCCATCTTTCTGTGCCCTGCTCCATGCAGTTCCCGTTCCCTCAGACACTCAGCAAACATTTAGGCGTTAATTAACTTCCCCCAGGGAACAGTGACTCAGTGCCAGAGGTAATCTCCCGGCCCAGGGGAGAGCCAGCGCGCGCCAACCTTCCTCAGGTGCCCAGGCAAATAAGGCCAGACCCTTACCCCAAGGTGACATACCTCCCTGTAGCGGACACAGGTCTGAGGGACCTCCCCCCCGCCATTGTGTGCACACTTGGACACACTCACTGACCCCGACAGTGTCTGCTCCAGGCCCTGAGCCACTGCTCACGGGACAGCAGCCGCCCCTTCTGTCAGTCCGCAGTGGCGAATTCCTGCGGTGTGGCCCCAGGCTCCACTGCTCGCAGGGGCACCAGACAGCTCAGCTGTTCCAGCGCCTCCTTCCACAAGTGTTTTCTCACAACAGCTGCAGCAACTCCCCTTACCGGGCCACCCCAAAAAAGATCAAGGGTTTTTGTTAAGCTAGACAACTGCTTAGGCCTCCCCACTAGCCCACCTCTCCATTCTTGCCAGGCAGGGGAGAACGTGTGTGGGTCCCAGACAAGAGGCCTCGAGAGCAGGACCACGCAGAAGGCGCTGGCCGCCTCTTAGCTGCTCTGGAGTGACAGCCTCAGTGGAGCTCAGACTCACTTGGGGCCAGAGGCTGACAGAGGCTGGGAAGTGCCCAGGGGAGAGGCCCATGTGCGCAACCCAGCTCCCCAGTACCCAGCCTCTGGACGAGGAAGCCACCACTTCCACCCCTACCCTGATCCCCCACCTGGGCCCCCAAAGCCTTCAGGGCTCAAAGCGTGGCTGTGAATAGGCCATCTGAGGCTAGGATGGGGACCCTAGAGGAAGTGCCGGTCCTGGGAAGAGGCCTCGGTTCAAACCCTGGCTCCACGCCTTGACTGTGCAACCACGAGCGAGGCACTGCAGGTCTTGGCTTTCCTGTCACACACTGGGCGAGGGCAGAAGGAAGGCCCCAGCCAGCATCACACACGTTCTTGGGCTCTTGCAAGGCGCCCAGCCCGATGGCCAGGCGTGGCTGCGACTCCAGACAGGAGTGATGTCTCCAAGGTGAACTTCAGACGGGAACAGATGAAGGTTTTGCTGGTCTTGAAGAGAGGCCCTGGGGAAAGTAAGGAGGGGCATGCTTTTATTCCTAGAGGTATTGCCACAGCGAGGGGTCCCCTGGTCCTCTTGTCACCGTCACCTGGTCAGCAACAGAATGGAAACAGGACGCCCTTTCTCTGCAGTCCTCCTGAAACGTCACCCTCGATTCCCTGGGTGACATGCTACTGGTCACAGGGGCTCCTAAGGTTGCTCCTGGCCTCGTGAGAGGGACGGAGGTTCAGGTCTGGAGCTGAGGGGCTTCGGGCAAGGCCCCTCACACTGTCAGTGCCCCAAGTTTCCAAGTTTCTGCTCCTGAGAAGGGAGATCCACTGTCCCGGGCTTTATTTTCATCCTTGATTCCTGGTGGTGCTGTGTAACTGTTTGAGGAAAGCAATCTGGAGACTTCTTCAGGCTGATGGAGACCCAGAAATGGCAGAGGCGCTGGCTGGGTGTCTCCATTGCCAAGGGATCAAAGTAGGTGCAGAGGACAACGGGCCCAAGGAGAGAAGAGGCTCAGGAGAGACCCCAGCAGAGGGGCACAGAGCGGGTTGTCGCACCCGCCACCCCAGACCCACAAGGCCCCCCACACACGCTCCGTGTCTCTCTGAAGCCACCCCCTCTTCCAAGGCCAACTCAAGGACCCCTCAGGCCACCCTCCTGACCACTTTAAGGAGACCCCACTTGGGAGCCCCCCTTCAGGGGCGCAGTCACCCCTTCCAGGCCAAGGGCCCCAAGTAGGCATAAGCCTGTCCCTCTGTCCTGAAGGTCTGAGTCCCCAGCTGGGAGGCAGGGGCCCGCGGGAGTTTTGGGAGGAAGAAGAAGGGAAATAGTGTCAACAAAGCTAAGTCGTGCAGTTCCCGGGCCCCTGGTGTTCAGCCCCGGGAGGAGCTCAAGCGCCGGCGCCCATCCCAACTCTGCCTCTGTGGAGCTGCGGCCCCCACGGCCGCCCCCCGCCCCCCACCGCCTGCTGGGCCGGCAATCTCGGGTTGGAATTCAGGGCGTTTCTGGCCAGGGCGGGCCCCCTACTAGGCACAAGGCAATAGTCCCTATTGTCATTGCGATTCGCTGGGGAGGGGAGGGCAGAGCCCGGGTCAGGCCCCTCGCGCTCGCGCTCCGCCTTCGCACCCCTGCGCGCTCGCGGGTCCTCACCCCTGGGGGCTCGTCCCCGAGGCTCCCCCATCAGAGGAGACCCACACTCACCACGTTTGGGTTTTCGCGTCTGACAAATGAGGTGAACAGACCTTCCCCGAGGAGGCACCGAACCCCTTCGGTCAAACAGCTCGAAACGAGGCCCAGCCATCCCGGCGCGGGGCGCCCCCGGGCCGAGCCAGCCGCCCCCCTCGGCTCCTGCAAAGGTCTCGGGGCGCGCGGGCCCCCCGGGGTCGGCAGGCGAGAAAGAGGGCGCCGCGCGGCGGGCAGCGGGCAGCCGCGCGCACCTGCCGCAGGTGAGGCCCGGCCGCGGGGAGAGGGGCGGGGCCGTCGCGGCCGCGCACAGGTGGGCCGGGCCCCCGCCCGGGGCGCGGGGCCGAGGGCGGCGGCGGGGGGCGGCGGCCCCCCGCGCGGCGGCTGCGAAGCGCCCCGCGACGCCGACGGCGGCCCCGGCGGCTCCGCGTCCCGCGCGGCGCGGCAGCCCCAGGAGAACCTTCGAGGCAGCCGCGGCGCTGGAGGCCCCGGGTCCGTTCGGTATTTGAATAGCACAAAGGAACCGCCTTGGTCTGATTGGCCCGCCGCGCGGCCCCGGGGCGGGCGGCGCCCGTCACTCGGGAGGCTCCCGGCGCGCCCATTGGCCGGCGGCGCGCGGGGCGGGGCGCGCACGCCCGGCTAAATAGCCGGGGCCGGGGCCGGCCGCGGCTCATTGCTTTGGCGCCGTCTGGGGAGCGCGAGCCGCGGGTGGCGCGCGGCGCGTGGTGGCGGCTCCTCCAGGAGCGCAGCCGACCCGCCGACCCGGGCTGCGCTCCCCGTGTCCGGCGCGCCCCGCCGGCCGGCTGGAGGCCGCAGCCGCAGCCGCAGCAGCAGCAGCAGCAGCGGCCGCGGCTGCTCGGCCGCCGTCGCCTCCGCGGGAGCATGGAGTGCGCCCTGGACGCCCAGAGCCTGATCAGCATCTCCCTGCGCAAGATCCACAGCTCCCGGACCCAGCGCGGCGGCATCAAGCTGCACAAGAACCTCCTGGTGTCCTACGTGCTCCGCAACGCGCGCCAGCTCTACCTGAGCGAGCGCTACGCCGAGCTCTACCGGCGCCAGCAGCAGCAGCAGCAGCCGCCCCAGCACCAGCACCAGCACCAGCACCAGCACCAGCACCTCGCGTACGCCGCGCCGGGCATGCCGGCCAGCGCGGCCGACTTCGGCCCGCTCCAACTTGGCGGCGCCGGGGACGCGGAGGCGCGCGAGCCGGCCGCGCGGCACCAGCTGCACCAGCTCCACCAGCTCCACCAGCTGCACCTCCAGCAGCAGCTGCACCAGCACCAGCACCCGGCGCCGAGGGTCTGCGCGGCGGCGGCCGGGGCGCCCGCGGGCGGCGCGGGGGCGCTCGCGGAGCTGCCCGGGTGCGCCGCGCTCCAGCCGCCGCACGGCGCGCCCCACCGCGGGCAGCCCTTGGAGCCGCTGCCGCCCGGTCCCGCGCCGCTGCCGCCGCCCGCGCCCGCCGCGCTCTGCCCGCGGGACCCCCGCGCCCCCGCCGCCTGCCCCGCGCCCGCCGCGCCCCCGGGGGCCGCCCCCCCGGCCGCCGCCGCCGCCGGCTCCCCGCCCTCCCCGGCCCCCGCCTCCTCCCCCGGCTTCTACCGGGCCGCGTACCCGGCCCCCTCGGACTTCGGCGTGCACTGCAGCAGCCAGACCACCGTGCTGGACCTGGACACTCACGTGGTGACCACGGTGGAGAACGGCTATTTGCACCAGGACTGCTGCGCCTCCGCCCACTGCCCCTGCTGCGGCCAGGGCGCCCCGGGACCCGGCCTGGCGGCCGCCGCCGGCTGCAAGCGCAAGTACTACCCCGGCCAGGAGGAGGAGGGCGGCGAGGACGCGGACGCGGGCGACCTGGGGGCCGAGCCCCCCGGGGGCGCCTCGTTCGCCCCCTGCAAGCGCGCCCGCTTCGAGGACTTCTGCCCGGACGCGGCCCCGGACGCGTCCAACATCTCAAACTTGATCTCCATCTTTGGCTCGGGCTTCTCGGGGCTGGTGAGCCGACAGCCGGACTCCTCGGAGCAGCCGCCGCCGCTCAACGGGCAGCTGTGCGCCAAGCAGGCGCTCGCCAGCCTCGGCGCCTGGACTCGAGCCATTGTCGCCTTCTAGGGACCCCGAGGGCCCGGGGACCCGGGGCCCGTGGGGCTGGGGCCAGACAAAGACTCGGCCAAGGGGCGAGAGGAGGGGACGAGCGGGCGCCGGGCCACTCGGGCCGCGCCGGGGGCTCGCCGGGGAGGCGGCTGATGTTTTATAAATTGTAAAATAAAAAAAAAAACAAATCTAAGACCTTGGACTTTATTTTTGCAGAGAGAAAAAGCGCCCATTTAAGTCTGCTTTGTGCCTCTCCACTCTCTTTTTTTTTCTTTCTTTCTTTTTATTGTAGTGCTCGCCGTGGTGTGGAGCGAGGAGCCAGCCACGTGAGGGAGGGCGGCTGCCCGGAGGAGGTGCCGGCGCCGGGGGCGAGGCCGGGCGCGCGGGGCGCGCCGGGGGCGCAGCGCAGGAGGGCGCGGGCCGGGGCGCGGGCTCCGCGCGGTTGTCCAGCCCGGGCGGCCGGGCGCCCGCGAGCCCCCCGGTGGGGCGAGGCTCGGGTCTGGTGGAACCCTGGGCAAAAACAAAGGCAAAGTCTGTGTCCGAAGGGGACGTTCGGGTCGCGCTTCCTCTCCGGGGGCGGCCTCCAAAGTTCTCCAAACGAGAAGGCAGAAATGAAAACACTCCAACTTTTTTTTTCTTTTCTTCCCGGGGCGGGCGTCCTGCGCCCCTCCTCCCCCCGCCCCCCGGCTGCGCCCCTCCCCTCCTCCGCCCGCGTCCCGGACTCGGGGGTGGCGCCGGACACCCCGACACTTTCCGACCGGGTTTGGGGAAGGGGCGGGCGCGGCGGACTACATTTCCCGGCATGCCCCGCACTGCGGGCCTCGCGGAACAAAAAAGGAAGTCGAGGCCGTCACCTGGACCCCGGCCCGGGGCGGGGGCGCGGGGCCGCCCGCCGCGCCCGGACCCCGCGAAGTTCCCGGTCAGGTGTGGGGCGCGCGTGTGCGCGCGAGTGTGCGCGCGTGTGTGCGCGCGCGCGCCTCCAAGTTGCACTGCCCTGGCCCAGCCTTCGGCTGCATGTCATGAAACCAGCATTGTTCGAGCCGGGGAGACCCTGTCCTGCGTCCTCAGCGCCCCAGATTTTGTTTAATTTAAAGCCTTTTGTTGTGAAAAGGTGGGGCTCTCTGCCATCAGCACCCTGGGAACCTCAAAACAAGTTGCCAGCCCTTCTTCCCAGGCCTCTCCCCCGCCCCTCTGTTTTTGTGCACACTGGCTGTGTGTCCCCGGGGGAAACTGCTCAGATTGTTTAAATCTGAAATCTTGATAAAAAGCCCACTCTGGAGGATGGGGGTCCTCGCGCTCCGCTCGGCCGGGGGGCGGCTGGGCGCATGGGGGGGTGGGGAGACCCTCCCCCCGTGCCAACCCCGGCTCTCCCCGGCCCGGGCGGGTGGGATCCGCCGCGCCCGCAGGCCCGGGGTGCGGGAGGGGCCGGGGCGACGCTGGGGTGTCGGGGCCGAAGCTGGTGCCGCGCGCCCCTGGGGCGCCCGCGGGGGCTGGCGACCGACGGGGACCGGCCGCCCCCGGGGTCTCCGGCCGGCCGCCCCGCCAGCCTCGGGCGCGGTTCCGCCCAGCCAGGGGCGCAGGGCCCGGGCGGCCTCGAGTCCCAGCCCTGCGCCGCGGGGGAGCAGCCGGGGGCGCCGGGGGGCTCCTGGGCCACCCACAGTCCCCGCCCGGCGCCTCCGCCCGCACGTCCGCACGTCTCGGGCTGCAACTTGGGGAAGTTTTTTCCTTTTCCTTTTTTTTTTTTTAAGTTGAGTTTGTTATCACTGCTCGGTGCCACTTGGTGGTGTGCTGGCGGCGTCGCGCTCCCTCCGCGCGCCCCTCGCGCCTCTCCCCTGCCTCCCTCCCTCCCTCCGCCCGCCTCTCCCCTCCCGGCGGCGGGGCAGGAAGGCCCCGGGCGCGCCCCCTGACCACCTACGGGATGACCTCAGAGTGGGGGAATGTGCCCGGCCCGGGGGAAGCGCGCGTTCTCCCCGCTGCAACCAGGCGCACATCTGGAGCCGCGGCTCGGGCCCGGGGCGCGCTGGGTGGTTCCAGCTTTGCAAAGCGGCGAGGAGAGAAGCGGGGGGCGGCCGGGGGTGCGCGAAGCGGCCGCCGGCTGCTTATTGGGGGTGTTCCTCCCGGGGCCTGGCTCTGCCTCGCGGTGCTCCTCGCTGGCCGCTGCGCCCCTGCGCGCCCCTCTCCGGCGCGAGCCTCCCCGCAGGGCGCCCCCCGCCCCCCAGCCTTCACACCCCTGCTGCGCGAGGCGGGCGGCCGCCGCGGGCCCGCCCCGGACCCCGACGGCGGCCGCGGGGCAGCCCCAGGGCCGCTGGCCGCCGGGCCCGGGGTCGCGCGTGGCGAAGTTCGCGGGGACACTCCGAGCGCGGGGCGCCGCGAAGGTCCGCGATGGGGGCGGGGCACGTCGGAGTCGGGGGGCGCGTGAGTTGGGGGGTGGCGGGAGGAAAGGCACCTTCACCTCCCGGGGCTATTTTCTCGGCCTCCCGCGGGAAGAACCTGGAGCTGCTGGGGGGGGCGGCGTGGCTCCCCCTCCCCGTCCCCGCCCCCCGCGAGCCCCGGAATCGCTGCTGGCTGCGCGGCTTTGGCTCCATCCGCCAAGCAGTTGCCGGAGCGCCCCCTAGCGCCGCCTCGCGGGGCTGCAGCGGCGGCGGCCGGGAGTGGGCGAGGCGCCGCGGGGGCCGCGGGGCCGGGGCGGGGGCCGCGCGGCTCCCACCTGGGGCGCAGCGCCGCGGCGGGATCCCGCCCGGGCTGGAGAGGGGGCCCGGGGCCGGCGCGTCCCCCCGAGCCCGCGTCGAGGAGGGCACGTGGCCGACCGCCTTTGTTGGGCGCGCGGACCGCGCTCTGGGAGAGACCAGCCAAGGGACGTGGGGGCGCCCCGCCCGCCCCCGAGCCCCACGGCGCAGGAGTGTGGGTGTTGGGCTGCGACACCGGGGCTCTGAGCTCATCAGGACCCCTGGCCGAGGGCTCCTCCCTTCAGCCAGGTTTTCTAAGCTTCAGGTGCGCGCACACCCTGGGGCACTTTGCCACCTGGTGAAACCCGGGACTGGGGCGGAGGGCTCGGGGAGCGCACAGAGGAGAGAGGCCCCTGCCCCGCCCCCCATCTTCTCGGGGCCGGGGACCCTGAGCAGCCCCGCAAGGGGTTAATGCCCGGAGCATAATACTACCCCGTGACCCAACACAGCCCACCGGCACCCGCTGCGCCCACTAAGACCAGCCTCGCGAAGCAGTTAAGGGGCGCGCAGCGTGAGAGGGCGCTGCGCCCCCACGGAGGACACGCCCAGCCAGATGCGCTGTCCGCACACAGGGCGCTCGCAGCAGCATCCTCCCCCAGCTCACCCCAGGGCTGGTGCCCAGAGCATGGGCCTGAGCAAAGCACAGCTGAAAGTGGGGGTGTCAGGGAGGTGGAGTCATGGCGGTTCTGGGAGTGGGGGAAGCAGGCAGGCACGCCAGGAGCCACAGACAAGCTCCTCTCTCTCCAGTAAAACACCAAACTGGACCCCTAGAAGAGCCCCCAGGCAGGACTTGGGGTGCTGCTTGGGGAGTTAGGGAGATCAGAAGATACAACTGAGGTACCCAGGAATTGAAGAGGGAGAAGCTTCCAGAGAATAGCAGGTCTGGAAGGGAAAGCTCCAGAAGTCCAGGTTCCCCCCAGGTTATCCAACACTCTCCCAAACACACAAACACACACACACACACTCCCCTACCCCACCCCCATCCTAGACCACTGCAGCTCCTGTTGCCCTTGATATGTGGTGTAGGGCTGAGCCAGCCTCCAAGCTGCAGCCCCAGCCCCAGCCCCACACCGAGTGCAGGCTGCCCTCCAGAGAAGCCAGGGGCTAGGGCTGCCCTGAGTTCCCAGGAGGGCCGCTGTGCAGGGTGCTGAGATCGGGGGCACCTGTGACGTGTGTGTGTCCTCTGCTGCAGGATGTCCACACCAGGACCCATGTCTCTCTGTGTCTTCCTTCGCTGGTCATGTTTCCAGAGAACACACTTGCACAGAGCTGGCCAAGCCCAAGCCCACCACTGCAGAGAAACAGCAGCAGATAGAACAGGCACAAATGCCTCTGTGTGGATTCACTCATTTACTCTTCTCAGCTGCTCTCCGAGGTAGATGCTATTAGGATCTGCATTTGAGAAATGAGAAAACTTGCCCCCAGTCACATGACTAAGAAGTGGCCAGCCTTCCTGCTGGAGTATGTAGTGTGGTAGGGAAGAATTTCTAGCACAGGACAGGGGGAGCTGGCCAATGCCCTTGATGTTGTCTAAAAAGAAATACTGGTAAATTCTAGCTGAGCCTAAGCTGGGCTCTGGGATCTGGTCATACGTGAGCTAGCAGGCTGGGAGTACACCGTCCCCAGTTTTCATGCTTTGGGTCCCAGGGGCAAGGGATGGTGTCTGTGTCCCATCCCACCCAAGCCAGGGACTGACCCAGCCCTGGCATATGCCAGAGCTCTGGCTGCAAGGATTGGGACTAGACTGGCCAAAGGGTGGGCTTTCTCGGCTCATGGCATTAAAGTGTGCAGTGGACAAGGGTAGCTGGCTTCAGGTACAGCTAGATCCAGGGACAGTCCTCCACGATGATGGCTCTCTATCTCCCATGACTTTTTCCTCTGCCCTTGACCTTCCACTCCTCTGCTGCAGACCTGCTTCTCACTCTAGCTGTAGAGAGCAGCTCCTGGATCCCCTTCTCAGTTTTGCCACCCAAGAGGAACTGTCCTCTTATTTTCAACTCAGAAAATCTCAGGGAAGGACTCATATGTGCCCAGGGTCAGAGGGTGGTTGGTGGCCCCCCCTGGGGAGATGTGTCAGAAAGGCAGGTACAGGGTGACTGACCAAAGACGTCCTCCACAGAGAGAGGTTGCGAGCCAAGCTAACAGGCACTTCACGTGGGTCTCAGGAGACTCGGCCCAGGCAGGACTGCTCCAGGATCTGGGCAATATGCAGGCAGCGCAGCCCGAGGGAAGGGAGGCTCTGCTTACTCCCACCCAGGTAATGAGGCTCCAGGGTCATCTAGTGCCCCTCTTCCCCACACCCACACCTCACCCCCAGTTTGCCACTCAGGGATCACTAGGGTAGGGCAGGCCGCAGCTCTCAGGACAGTGACAAGGGCCACCCTCAGGACTTAGGGCAGTGGACATCCACAAGTGGGCCGCGTGGGAGAGCGTGAATGGAGCTCAGGGAGGCTGAAGTGCTGACCAG